TGCTATTCCCTGATATCCAGTGCTTCAAGTCTGTCTCCTGAGAGGGCCCTATAGAAGTGAATGGGGCTGTAATGTGCAGGTGCGGCCAGCAGAGGGAGTATTGCAACACTGGATGGAAACAGCTGAACGGTGCCCATTGGATCTAAGTACAGACCTGTGGAGGGGAAGGGTGGGATCGTTTAGGTCAGGGGTGGGGCAAAAAGGATAAGTTCACTGTGTTTTAAGTACACTTATCCTGTAATGAGTGTTGGGAATATCTGCATTTATAGGGGTGACTCGGTCACCATAGAATGTGTGCGGAACCGTCCTGTTCTATCTTCACTATCTTCACTATAAAACAGGTCCCAGAAGCACCATTGTGAAAATAGAACAGAACGCTTCCACAACTCCCATTCTGTTCTTAGCCCATTAGCTTGTGTGGACATAGAACATGTCATCATGGTGACTGGAATCACGTAGTTATAAATGAATGGGCGGTGAAAGGTCCTCCACATTCCAGAACAAGATCTATGAATGGGGCCACCCTTGGCTCTGGGAGTAAATACCATTATATAGAACAGACTGAGATAAAGAGAGGACCCCCTTTGTAACCTGACCTAGTGTAAGGTGTCATGTACATGAAAACCACTGTCCTCTCTACACAATATGTGATTGTATGCATTATGCAGATTCTTGTGTTGATTTGTTTGTTTGTGGCCCCTAAGGACCAAGCCCTTCTGATTGGTTACAACGTGTAGCACCCCACTTCTGGAACCCTATAGGGCCAGTCATATTCAACTGGACTTGTTTTGTAATGTTTCCAAATGACAGAATGGGTCCAACTGAATGTGACAATCTACTACTAGCTATATATACCAGGGGGTAGGCCACTCCATCCCTCCAGCTGTGGGTGAAACTACAAATCCCATCATGCATCTGCCTCTGGGAGTCATGCCTGTGGCTGTCAGTGTCTTGGAATGCCTCATGGGATTTGTAGTTCCACCACAGCTGTACAGCCGGAGATTGCTCTGCTATATCCATGAGCTGGATAAAGGACAACCTTCCCCGATTGTATTGTGCACATTGAGATCTCAGTCCTGGTGCCATTGCATGTGCTCTCCTCTCTCTTTTCTGAGAGTTGGCTCACATTCAATGTCCAGGGTGAAAGGGCGGTCCCAAAAGGTCAAATCAGTTCCATTTCTAACGCTTTATTAAAGGCAGAGCTGTTCTAATGATGGTCTATACGTTTAGTGTCGGAGACAGTGTGTCCTCCCTCGATGCCCAATGTGAGATCATTATGGCTGGCACAGCAACTGTGTTCTATATATGCCTTGTGCCACAATCTCCAGCCCAGTGACCCTCATGAGTCGTCACCAACGTGATCTGTCCCAAGGACATTTGGTTCAACCACTACCTCGAAATGTCTTCATGCTTGAAGCTCAGCAGTACAAAATGTAAGACGCCTTTAAGCTCAGCAGTACAAAATGTAAGACGCCTTTAACAGAAACATGGTGACAATTGAAAGTGACACTAAACTCAGGAGTTATCCTCAAAATGTATTCAAGAACCTCAACTATGCACAATGCTGGACCTCATTCGTGCATCACTCGGCTGCAGATCCTCCAATCATCTCTGAATGGGTGCTGGCACTGTCCTTCCTTCTGGAGGGGGGCTACATTTGTTCCCCATGGTCCCTGTGTGTGTTGTAAAGTCACTGCTCCAATCTCGCTCCTGTGATGGACTACAATCTCACATTTATTTAGCTCGGGGCGCCCACTATTTTTCGTCTGGAGATCTACTTTTCAAATGACGAGCTCATTGAGATCTACCAACGAAAAAACACCTTCATTCAGGGGCGGGAGGGGGGCGTGGTGGTGCATTGAGGTCAATGGCTCCGCAGGCAGGCCCCTCGCCCACAGTGTGATCACTTGCATTAGTGCCTGTGTTCCAGCCCAGTGCGAGCCGCAAAAATGCTGCGAGCACTATTCTTGCAGATCGCACTGGACCGGAATGAAGGCACTAATGCAAGCGATCGCACTGTGGGCGATGCCATTGACTTCAATACAGCCCCACACCCCCTCCCGCACCTGAACGCAGGGAGTCGGCCGACATATTCCAGTGCACCCTACAGGTCCCGGCGTCCTGTCCTCCCGTGGTGCTCGTGTGGCCGACGTTGCACATGGGGTGTCCTGCACCTTTCCATCTGCAGCATCTGACACATTCAGCC